TGGTACAACCACTGTGGAAATCAGTATGGAGATACCTCAAAGAACTAGGACTGGAAGTCCCATTTGACCCCACTATTCCACTGCTGGGTATCTTCCCCAAAGATTTAAAAGAGTCATACCACAGTGCTATATGTGCACTCATGTTCATAGTAGCACAGTTTGTAATAACTAAAACTTGGAAACAGCCAAATGCCCATCAACTGGAGACTGGATAAAGAAAATGTGTTTTTTTAATAAAATGGAGTACTACTCAGCCATAAAAATGTGAAATTAGAGACATTTATAGATAAATGGATGCATATTGAGGCCACACTCTCAAGTGAAATAAATAGGAGATAGTGTAAATACCGAATAGTTTCTCTAGTGTGACTAGAGAAATAATAGATAAGGACTAGAGGTGTAGAGATAAGGACCTAGAGATAAGGACTAAAAGGTATAACAGATGTGAAATAGGAAGAAAAGGGACAAAGGGGAAGGGGAAGTGGGAGGGGTAGGGGAAAGGAAAGAAGGGAATGGGATTAATATGAGAAAATGGAAAAATGGAAACAAAATCTTTGTAAAGAGGGAAGGATGGAGGGGTTGAAGGGAGGGCTGGGTAAGGGTGAAAAATAAGAACCAAGAGAGATTATGTAAAGGTGCAAATTTCCAATGATGAATGTCATTATATTGTATACCTAAAATGTACCAATAAATTTAATTTAAAAAAACCAGAAAGCCAGGTGCAGTGGCTCACATCTGGGAGGCTGAGGCAGGAGGACCGCCAGTTTGAGCCCAGCCTGGGCAGTTTAATGACCTGCCAAGTCCTCATCTCCAAATAAAAAAGGGCCAGGGATGCGGCTCAGTGCAAAGGCCTGGTGTTCAAGCCCCAGTACCCCAAATGGATAAATAAATAAGGACACCCCTCCAAAAAGAAGAAACTACCATATCAAATATAAAATGTGTAGCAGAAAATATTTCTCTGTGACGTTCAGAGCTCCTAAATTCCTCCTTTGCCCAACTCTGGGAGTAAATTTTATTAATTATAAATTGCAGTGTATTACAAAACTTCAGTTTTATTTTACTCCCACTTTTCACCAGTCTCCAATTAAACAAAGGACTGACTCTGCATTGCTGAATGCTGCCCAGGAGGGCACTCGGGACGGAAGTAACCAAGTGCGTGTCCAGTCCCCAAGGCACCAGGCTGAGCGATGGGCAGAAAGCCAGACAGGACCTACAGCGGTGCGGGGATGCAGCGCAAACCCAGGGAGGGAAGCTGCTCGAGGCGAAGGCCGGAGGCGAGCAGGCTGAGCGTCCCCGAGTCCCCCTGTGACCCCGAAATGAGCCGTGGGACAGCACGTGCGGAATGATGTCCACCAGGGACACGTGCTGGGTGCTCGGCCCTGGGGGTCTGCAAGGGGCTCACAGCGGCTCCTCCTGCACGCACGCCACGGCGGCTCCACGAAGGGCCGGGGTCCAGTGTCAGGCCCGGCGGCTGCCCAGTGAGGGTGCAGTGAGCACCCCCGGCAGGGACGGTGGTGACTCAGACCTGGGCCCCGACTCCAGCTGCACAGTCTTCTAAGGACAGCGGCCCTGGGCCTGCTGTGCTCCGTCTGTCTGGCCCTTGCCAAGGTCCGCTCCTCTCCGAGCACCTGGATTGTGCCCTTTGAAGTTCACTTGCTGCCCCTAACTGACCTTCTTCACTCACACATCTCTCTCAAATCCTATCACTTCCCTCGCCCTCACATCTACCGCCCGGTATTATTTTCTTGGTGTCTCAGATCCTTTTACCCTAGCAGGTCATGCCTTTGCTTTCATCCATGAAGGACTCACTGCCTGAGAAATGCCCAACTACACACAACCAGAAAACCCTTGTCGGGTCAGGACAGTGCCATGGGCAGGGCTGGGATCCTCCGGAGGAGGACAGGAGTGAGACTGCACCACGCCTTGCTGGAGCCCAGGGCCCCTGGCACCTAAGGGCAGACAGCCGCAAGAGCTCCAGGCCTGCAGGGCCCTCGGGTCCTTCGGGGCCCCAAGCTGTGATGCTCCATGAGACCAGAAAACAGTATCCAACCAGGATGCAGGAAAGCAGCAAGGCCCAGTTCACTGGGGCAGGGAGCACAGAGGACAGAGAAGAATACAGGCGGGACTGGGCGGCCACAGCGAGAACAGGATTCATACAGACAGGGACTGCCCGGCCCTGGCGCTCCTGACATTTCAAAACAGCCACGAATCAGCTTTACCAACAGAGCTCACACTGCGCAACTTACCCGCTGGGGCTGTGCGTCCAGTGGCTTCAGGTACAGCACCTCACTGCCGCACACCCGCGGCGTCGGGCAGCCAACAGCCAGCCACCTTCTGTCTCTGCAGACAGCTCCTCACACAGC